AAAGGCAGTAGAGGAGTGTATACAGTGACTGGCTGTCACTATGTGCTGGTTTTTAAATGTAATTGCCAGGTTTTTTTTTTTCTTTACTATTGCTCACAAAATGAGCTGTCACTTTCCCCCAGCTAAAAGAAACAAAGTTTCCTTTTTGTTTCTTTTAACTCGGGGGAAAGAAACTGAGTTTCCTTTAGCTCCAGGGAAAGTGACAGCTAATTCTGTGAGCTATAATGAACAAAATAAAAAAGCTGGCAATTACATTTAAAAACCGGCACCGACATAATAGTGACAGCCAGTGAAGGAGCCTCTCGGTATACACTGCTCCTCTCCTCCCCCCCCCAAACAAAGAGGACCTGTCACTCTTATGCTATCACAGAGGACTATTGGTCCCCTATGTGATAGAAATAAAATCATAAGTTAAAAATACAAAAAAAAATAAAAATATACATGAAAATAGGAAAAAAAATACAAAAAAAAAAAAATTGGAGCCTTCCCACCCCCACATACATTTTGGTTTGGTTTTCGGCCACATGCATTCTGAATTTTCGGTATCTGTTTCTGCACCAGAATTTTAATTTTCAGTGCACCACTAATAGACAATTATCATATACACAGATTTGACCTACATAACCATGTCAGTTAAAAAACAATTTTTTCAAAGGACTCCTCCAGTGTCGCTGGAGCATAAGGACACTATAGTGATCCCTTGGCAGGTGGAAGCTAGTGGAAAAAAAAAATCATAAATTGCTGATAACTACCAAAGATATATTCATTTTGATTTGTATATATTATTGGTATTTATCAGCATTTATGATTTTTTTTTTCCCACTAGCTTCCACCTGCCAAGGGATCACTATAGTGTCCTTATGCTCCAGCTAAGGAGTCCTTTGAAAAATACTAGTTTATAACTGACAAAATGGTTATGCAAGTCAATCTGTGCATATGAAAATGATGGTCTATTATGTAAAGATTAGTTTGTTAATGTTTATAGGTCTATCATACTTTTCGAAGCTTCTGCTGTATTCCTTTGTTTATCCCTGAAGATTCTATTGTGAATTGAAACGCGTTGGTGCTGTACTATTTTGCAGATAACTCTCCTGGTTACAGATGATATAATAAGATAAGAATGAATAAAACAAGATTTTAACAGTTGATGTTTCAATTATATATGATGCTGTTAAAGTCCCCTTTAAACAAGTATGCATGTTTGGTTTCTCTCATGAATAAAAAAAAAAATAAAAATAAATAATTTCTTATAACTAGAGACCCTCTGGGACACTAAACTCAGTTGTCGTTCCTGTCCATAGAGTATCAGCCGACAGAGGGAAGAGCAGTATAGTTTTCTGTTTAATATTCATCCTCCTATGAGTAGTGGTCTTTGTCGTCCAATAAACATCAAGCGAACACCATACATTATAAAAACCAACTATAACTAGGTGTAAACTAGGAGATAAGCAATTTGATGACCTGCAATCTCCTAACATCTCCTGCCCCCAGACTGGATAGACTTCTATCTAAATGCAAAGTAGCATACCCAAACCTTATACACCTAATATGGTCATGGTCACACAGTGATTGGTTTTGGTTGAACTTCAAATACATGAATAAAATTACAGGTGGCTCCAGAACCCAATATCCTTATTTCACACCACAGTACCCGGGGAGGCTCCTGACAAGACTAAGCTCTCTAAATGGGAAACACTACTACAGAATGCAAAAAAAAAAAAAAACAAAAAAAAAAAACAACAAAAAAAAAAAACAAAATCTTTTTTTCAAAATGGTTAACCTTACTGAGGCCAATCTAAAAAACAATTACCCCAGCTAACTCGGATAGATACAGCTGGATACCAAACAATCTAAAAGGTACTGAAAAATTCTTTGAAACATGGACAATATACAGTATCTGACTACCAAACATCATAATCATTTTCCAACATGCCATCTAGTATAATACACAAAAACTCAATGGAAACGCTAGGTAAATTAGATGTCTTGTAACCTGGATAGCAACAACCCAAAAACCCCATTTGGGTGCATGATCACCTGACCTGAACCTTCTATATGGATATGCAGGTCTATATGATGTATTACATCCTCGATCCCTGACAATTCTACAACACGTTTTAGCTTTTAATTGTTTACCAAAAATGTTCACTTTCAATATTCTTTTATTACAGGGAAAAAGAAAATGCTTTGTAATACAGTTGGCCTTCAGAGAAAAAATAGGCCCTGTGTGTCCAATCTGAGATACCCATGTCTACAGCAAATGTTTTAGATATATTTTCTTGTATTTTGCATGTTGGATTGCTGAACACAGAAATACATACAAAAATAACTGCAAATAAAATATAATTCACAATCTGACTTCATATAAAAGGAACAGCATTTTTGTCTTTTATTATATTTATGGCAAATGGTAACTGTGATGTGGAATTTCCACTATGATCAACATGGAAGACATACCTCCACAGCTACAGGGTTTGAAAAAACAAAAAACACAATTAAGCAGGTGCTTTATAAAACCAACAGGCAAGTGGGCCAACACCCTTGCAAACAAGATCGTCATCTTATATATGGGATATAAAAAGTCAGAAGAGAAGTACAATTGGGGAATACAGTAGAAGACTTGTATAATTGCAATTTCTTTCCAGGGTTTCCAGAATTTTTTGTGTGCCAGACTTGTACATTTTTGGCGATTACAATGTTGGAAGAGCTTCGACAATCATGTTAATTACTATAGAAACCAACAACAAATCCTGCTGGAAAATCAGTGTTAGTAACTTGGTACCTAATTTTCCAGGAATCTTTCAAACGGCATTGATGAGGGAAAAACCTGTGTCCTGAAAGATAACTTGGGAAATTGAAGAGAAGCTTAAGAGTGTGTATCTGATATAAAATCTTGGAAGAAGTATTTACATACACTCTTACAATAGGAAAAAAAGTAGCGTATCGAAAATCTGATTGCTGAAGATTACTTTTCAGTCGTTTTAATTTATTCTTTATAAAAAACTTCATACATTACCCCCCCATGAACATCCAAAACATGAAAGTAGCCATAGCTTCAATTCAGGGAAAAAAATAAAACAAAACAAGATCTGCATAGTCAGCAAGTGTACTCCCTGCAGAAGTGGATTCTCTGTCTATAAGGCAGCCTATATAGAAGTCATTTTTTTTTCTTTAAAGCAGAGGGTTGAACAAAAAACTGACCAGACTTCCCCATCCACACATTCAAGGTGGATAAGGGGAAATCCTTCTGCTGAGCTATTGAATTTTGACAGCAGGGAGACTTCCCTGCTGTCAGAATACACTGATTAGCGCTCCCAGCTATAGCAGTCAGTGCTGAGCGAGCAGTAAAATCCGTTAGGGACGTTGTACAGAAGTCATTTGGTAGATTGACTTCTGTACAACCACAGTGCCCTTACATGGATTAACATTCATCTGGTTCCTGCTCAATCAGCTGAATTTTGATCCATCTATGGGCAGCCTTAGGCCAAAGGAGAAATAAACAGAAGCTGGATGAGAGCTGGTTAAAAAGTAGGACGGCATGTCTAACCTTCAAAGATGAACACAAATGTAGTGTATGAGTGAAAACTGAACTGAGTGTGATTAGTTTTAAGACGATTGTGCGCAGTTCAATTAGACAATTTAACTGGAAATGCTAAACTATATAATATCTAGACCTTTATCCTGCATTTGAAGTCAACCCTGAGATGGCAGAGGTCATTTAAACTGAGCACATGATGAGAGAAAAAAAAAAAAAAAAAAAAATCACAGAAGCGGAGTCACCTTCATTAAAAGCCACATATGAACGATCATTAAATTCTGAGATTTAGAAACGGAAGTTAACAAGCAAATACAAATTTTTACTCTGAAGTTGACGTTGGTCCAACTCCTTTCAAATCCTCCCCAAATGGGAATATAAGATTTGGAGCAGAAACCTTAAACAATATAAAAGTTCATAATGCTAAGTTAACATCAACCTTTGCAGGTCAAGTAAAGATTTGCTTATAAAAAGTTAGTTGGGTATACTCACTGTATTTACCAATCACCTTGACCCTTTATGGTTTTTAAATAATAATCAATTATTTTAGTTTTGCGCTAATCCTTGGTGAAGTTAAGGAATTCAAACACTTACATAAATCAAAAGAAGTTTAACAGAAACCTTTCCGGACTTAACCGAAGGCACTGTGGGGCAATTCATCCTCAAAATTAAAAAAAGATAAGTAGTTTAGCCAAAGCACTCTCCCCCTCCTGTACACATGCCAAGTGACTGCTGGGGAGGGGAAAGCAGAATCAGAAACAACTCAGATGACTTCATAGTGCCTGCAATTACAAAAGTCGGGGGAAGGATTATTTTAAACATCCTGTACTTAAGAATATGTAAATGTTTAAACATCCATTAGCCTGGCCATAGTTGCAACTTTGGTTCAGGTTTCAAGAGGGGCAGCCAACATGTGTTTCCAGGACTTTTCATACATTCTCTGTTACCCATGGCTAAATAGGGTTTCAGGAAAATCTCAATACTCAAAAGGCTTCTTTTTCCACTATGAAAAACATAAGCTGAAGATTCTGTTCACAGAAACACTGCAGCCTACATGTAAAGCATTAACAGGACAGGTGCAGGGAATTAAATGCAAGTGGCACTAAAAACTGTCTAGCTACTATAAACATGTTTATTATAGGTTTGTGATACTAACTTGTTTTACGATGTATGGTTTAAAGGAACTTTATAAAACCCTCATTTGGAATAAAAATAAGCTGTCTTTACACCTTAGCACAGTTATGTTACACAACTACATACATTTTATTGTACAAAAATCCCTTTTCCCTTTATGTTACAGGGTAAGAATTTTTTTCTCCAGCTGAGAGTTTTCATAAAGAGCATCTGTTTTTTTTTTCTGTGTACAGCTGAAGTATTTGACATTCCCACAATACACATCACTCATTCAAGTCCAGAAGAGGGCCAGTGTAAAATACTAAGGAGTCCTTGGTCATTTAGAACACCACTAAGACACTTTCCTTTTCTGGAATTGCTTGGCTTTATGACCTCGATATTCTTGATCTCTGTCTTCATTTTGTAGTTGGCTGGACCACGGATCTCCACGTGAAGGCTGTGAAGGTCGTTTAACTCCCGTGCCGGAAGATGGAGAAAAGTTCTGATAGCGACGACCTTGGGAAAAGTTTGTATTAGAACTCTGCTGCAGACTAGATGGTGGTGTGTTGTTACTCCTTGTTTCTTCACACCGGCGCGCCAGTCTGGGATCCCGCAGCTTTCCACTTGATGCTAAAGGAATAGCAGGAGGTCCCATATTGCTGGGTATTTTCCTTTCTGGCACTGGGGGGGGGTACCGACAGAGACCTGGAACTGTTGTGTAACCTTACATCTACAGCAGGGTGTGCTATAGTTCTTGTGAGAGGTGGACCTCCATGTACTGGTAGAGTATTGATGCCTCTGCCTGGTGCTTCCACTGGAGGTGTGTGGACTTCTACTGGTTTAGTGGGAGGAAAAGAAGTAGTCCTCTGTATTACAGGCTTCAGTTTCAGTATTCTGTTCACATCTCTCTGGTAAAGTTCCTTCTTTGTTTTTACAAGAGCACCTCTACGCTGTGCGTCCTGGATTAAATGGTTCCAGTCCTTGTTCTCCTGTATCCAAAAAACAAAGATTAATGCACAAAATGTAAAGTCATTTAAATTTCAAACCCCTTCTTTTGAGAGCAAGCAGATGACACTTGGTGGAGACCTAAGCTTTCGGTGACAGTCTGGATTGAAATGAAAATGAATGGTGCAGCGCTAACTACAAAAGTGAATAAAAATAAATGTGTATCCATATAATCATAAAGTGCTAATAAATCAACAAACCAAAAATATACATATAACAATAAAGTGCTAATCAGAACCATACTAGTGTATGGGTCACCTTAGTGACCTAAAAATAGTGATAAACACACACAATATATAATGAAATAAACTGGTGTTAAGTGTCCTTAGTACTTGCTTTAAAAGGTCTTTTAATTATTACCAAGTCCATAAAGTAACAAGTGCTGATAAAACGTGATAAAACACCATGCAATGTGTTAAATGTGAACACTTCGTGCAAGTGCCGGCACACTTTAAATCCACTCCAGCTGCAGGGCCTCCTCACCTCCTTCCTGTGACCCAAAAGGGCCCAACAAGCATTCAGGATCACTCTGGATCCTTTATACCTCCGGCTAATACCTCTTGTGGCCTTGCACATGGTCTGATGCTGCCACATGGTTGGTCTGCCTGGTGGCTTTGTGGCATTTTGGTGGATCTTTTTATTACTCACTGGGATTGTGAGTAATATACCCTACAGAGTATCCTTATAAAAGGCAGAGGAGGAAGCATTTGGAGGCTGAACAGGAGACCGTTTATGATCCTTGGCTTTCTGGAGAGGTAATAGCCAGAGATATAAAGGATCCAGAGTGATCCTGAATGCTTGTTGGGCCCTTTTGGGTCACAGGAAGGAGGTGAGGAGGCACTGCAGCTGGAGTGGATTTAAAGTGTGCTGGCACTTGCAAAAGTGTTCATGTTTAACACATTGCATGGTGTTTTAGCACGTTTTATCAGCACTTGTTACTTTATGGACTTATTAGTACTTGCTTTAAAAGGTCTTTTGATTATTACCAAGGACACTTTAACACCAGTTTATTTCATTATATATTGTGTGGTTTTATCACAATTTTAGGTCACTAAGGTGACCCATACACTAGTATTGTCTACTTTATATCACGGTTCTGATTAGCACTTTATTGTTATATGTATATTTTTAGTTTGTTGATTTATTAGCACTTTATGATTATATGGATACACATTTATTTTTATTCATTTGTATTCACTTTTGTAGTTAGCGCTGCACCATTCATTTTCATTTTTTGTTCTGATTGGTATTATTATTGGGTGTTGGCCGCTATTGGTTAGGATATTTCCGTATCAGCGAAGGAGGATTTTTAGTTTTTCTTTTAGTCTGGATTGAAAGCAATCAATTGCACATACAAATCAGGAACTAATCACAGTCACAGTAGTTCCAGGTCATGCGATGACTGTCAGCTATGACATAGTAAACACATGCAGACTGGAGGTTTCCGTGTCACTCTAAGCCTTCGGCCTGCAGATTAATGCCACAGTCAGGCTGCAGGGAGATCAACTATTTAAATAGTGTAATTGTCACTTACATTTATATTTTAAAAAATTATAATGTCCAGCTTTTTAAATTAAAATACTGAACTGCAGCGTTATATGTGCTATAATAAAAGATATTTAGGTAGAAAAAGTAGAATTATTGCCAAGCTAACCCGACACATGTGGACAATGCTAAACTTGGCCTGGGCATCCAGGCATTAATGACACCTTTCCAAATCAGATCAATGGGTAGACTGGGCTATGAGAATGTAAAAAAGCTTGCCAGAAGGCAAAATCCTACATATGCCACTGTCTGCACAAGAGAAGGGTAGCTTTTGAAAACAAAGTAAATGTGTCAGTCATAGAAGAACTTATTCAACCACAGATTCTCCCAGTGTAACCCCACCAACTGAGCATCATGCCCCCAAATTTCTAGCACCCAAAAGCATAACTTTATCATTTTATGTATTGCAGCTTACCAATTCTTAGATGTGATCGCTGTATTCGTTTTCTTTTTTTAGGCTTTATTTCTTCTATTTTTCTTGTAATCCAGCCAGTAAGCTTGTTTATCAAAAGAACAAGCACTCTTGCAGTTACAGGGATGAGAAACCATTTATCAGGGGTGTTTACAATGATTAGATTTTATTTATTTATGGAAAACCTATATCCCACAAGAGAAAACGGTTTGCTGTAACTGCTTATAAAGTATTAGCTGGAGTCTAGCTTTGATGTGTTAGTGTATGTAAATCTGCTAGTACATCTAACACTCCGCTCCCCTCAGTCTGGTAATGCTGCTGTCCAAACCTGCACCCAGAGTGGGGGCATTCTAATACAGGGAATTTGTTACATGCCAAATCACCAGGGTAACACAGAGGGGGGGGAAAAAAAGCCTAAAAAAGAAAACTAATGCAGCCATCACATCGATTGATTGGTAAGCTGCGAAATATTACAATTTTGGTTTTTGGTTTTATACCGCTTTAAAACTTAAGTGTTACTAAACCCAGGATCCTGCATTCGCTATATCTGGTCTCCCACAGAACATGGAAGTGCAATTATTTTTGTAAACTGCTAAATACCTTCTCACATGAGCACTTACAGCAGTCTTGTGACTTCTACAAGCTTTAACCAGTGCTTGGCTGGACACTGCTAGAAGTTTTAATTTTGCTCTAGGAGGGTGCAGAACCCCTGACTTCTGTCTGGACAGTGCTGATCACATGCACTCTCTCAAGAAAATCAAAGAAGTCTGGATCAAATGCAGAGGATTAACCCCTTAGGTTCCACAGTGAGTATAACAAGCATGCTTTACTGCATATAAAGAGAGATTTTTACTGTCAGATCTCAGTCCATTTCCATGTAATGTTGATACAGAAAAATAATTTTGGCATATGATGTATCATGCTATATTATCAGCAAATACAGAAATTGTGTTTTTTTTAATTTCAAACGCAATGGGGTTTAAAAGAAAGCTGAAGAAGGAGCTGGTGTCATGCAGGTCTCCTGCAAATCGGTCAGTTTATCCGCTTGCTCGTACGGGAATGTACTGGCAAGCAGATAGTCAGGTCCATAAATATTGGGACATCGACACGATTCTAACATTTTTGGCTCTATACACCACCACAATGGATGTGAAATGAAACGAACAAGATGTGCTTTAACTGCAGACTGTCCGCTTTAATTTGAGGGTATTTACATCCAAATCAGGTGAACGGTGTAGGAATTACAACAGTTTGCATATGTGCCTCCCACTTGTTAAGGGACCAAAAGTAATGGGACAATTGGCTTCTCAGCTGTTCCATGGCCAGGTGTGTGTTATTCCCTCAATATCCCAATTACAATGAGCAGATAAAAGGTCCAGAGTTCATTTCAAGTGTGCTATTTGCATTTGGAATCTGTTGCTGTCAACTCTCAAGATGAGATCCAAAGAGCTGTCACTATCAGTGAAGCAAGCCATCCTTAGGCTGAAAAAACAAACCCATCAGAGAGATAGCAAAAACATTAGGCGTGGCCAAAACAACTGTTTGGAACATTCTTAAAAAGAAGGAACGCACCGGTGAGCTCACCAACACCAAAAGACCCGGAAGACCACGGAAAACAACTGTGGTGGATGACCGAAGAATTCTTTCCCTGGTGATGAAAACACCCTTCACAACAGTTGGCCAGATCAAGAACACTCTCCAGGAGGTAGGTGTATGTGTGTCAAAGTCAACAATCAAGAGAAGACTTCACCAGAGTGAATACAGAGGGTTCACCACAAGATGTAAACCATTGGTGAGCCTCAAAAACAGGAAGGCCAGATTAGAGTTTGCCAAACGACATCTAAAAAAGCCTTCACAGTTCTGGAACAACATCCTATGGACAGATGAGACCAAGATCAACTTGGACCAGAGTATGGGAAGAGAAGAGTATGGAGAAGGAAAGGAACTGCTCATGATCCTAAGCATACCACCTCATCAGTGAAGCATGGTGGTGGTAGTGTCATGGCGTGGGCATGTATGGCTGCCAATGGAACTGGTTCTCTTGTATTTATTGATGATGTGACTGCTGACAAAAGCAGCAGGATGAATTCTGAAGTGTTTCGGGCAATATTATCTGCTCATATTCAGCCAAATGCTTCAGAACTCATTGGATGCCGCTTCACAGTGCAGATGGACAATGACCCAAAGCATACTGCAAAAGCAACCAAAGAGTTTTTTAAGGGAAAGAAGTGGAATGTTATGCAATGGCCAAGTCAATCACCTGACCTGAATCCGATTGAGCACGCATTTCACTTGCTGAAGACAAAACTGAAGGGAAAATGCCCCAAGAACAAGCAGGAACTGAAGACAGTTGCAGTAGAGGCCTGGCAGTGCATCACCACGGATGAAACCCAGTGTCTGGTGATGTCTATGCGTTCCAGACTTCAGGCTGTAATTGACTGCAAAGGATTTGCAATCTATTAAAAAGTGAAAGTTTGATTTATGATTATTATTCTTTCCCATTACTTTTCGTCCCTTAACAAGTGGGAGGCACGTATCCAAACTGTTGTAATTCCTACACCGTTCGCTTTAATTTGAGGGTATTTACATCCAAATCAGGTGGACAGTCTGCAGTTAAAGCACATCTTGTTCGTTTCATTTCAAGTCCACTGTGGTGGTGTATAGAGCCAAAAATGTTAGAATTGTGTTGATGTCCCAATATTTATGGACCTGACTGTATATTGACAGAAAGACTTAATGAACTGCCTTGGTGCTCCACAGCACCGTGATAGTTTGAGAACTACAAGCCGACAGCCACTAAGGCTGTTGGGACTTGTAGTTTCTCACCCACAGAACACAGTGAATGAATGACACAGCTGGGCGGACAGAGTCCCGCATGGCCACAGTCTGATCATAACACTTTACATGTTACACCCTGAATATGGGAGTAACATGTTATGAAAGGTGAACTTATCCTTTAAACAGCATTGGTTCTAATGCTGTTTAAAGGATAATGGAGGATGAGGCACACCACACCATCCAACACTACCCTCTCTACTGCTCCTAAAGCCAACCCTATATCTACTTACATATAATTTCCTCCACTTCAATAGACCTTAGCTTAAAAATTAAAGGATAGGTTCACCTTTTGGAACATGTTACATGTTTCAGCTCTTACCACCAGTTCCACCAATCCCTCCCACCCCAAATCCTATGACAGTGGGCCAGGAATCTTCTCCTGCTACAACACGGCCACAGACTACAACTACCCTCAGCCATTGCGTCTAACAGCTTGTAGTTCTCAATTAACTGCGAGGACATTGGCGAGCGATCTTGTTGTTCTCTAACTTTTCCTGCTCTCAAAATAGGTACAGGCAGACAGCCATCGTGAGAATCTGGTATTGCTTTGCCAGCCCTTTAGAAAAAATAAATAATAAATGCACATTTTTCCCCTGGGGTCTACTTCTTTACTTAACATTTTACTGTTGATGTATTTATAGAACTTTTTCAGTTTTTTCTTGCTTCTGTTGCGATGTGCTTCTCAATATTTTTCTTAGCTGCTTTGACTGCACGTTTGCATTTCCTCAAATATTCCTTGTAACCATTATATGCCAAATCTGTCCCTTCTGTTTTTCTATTTTTTGAGGTCTAGTTTTTCTTTCCTTGATTTCCTTTTTAAGACTAGAATTGAATCGCAAAGATTTAAACTTTTGTTCACTTATATTTATTTTGCAACAAAAAGCAATGGAGAAAGCCATTGTTTTTCATAACCTTGAAACACTTCCACTTGTGCTCTTTCAAGAACATTCAGTCACAATTCTTTTTTTTAAATCGTGTCTCTTTCGTTTAACTTGTTTAAAGTGGAACTTTAGGTCAAAAAATAAAAAAAAGGGCAAACAGGCAGGAATTTTAATGCAGAAGAGACATGCTTTGTCTCTTCTGCATATGCAACTCACTGTACAGACTCTGAAACACCGAATATGACTGAACTCCCGTGAATGCGTAGGCGGGGAGTGACGTCATTTATACCTGGTCAATGAAAGCGGCTAGCAAATCGAGACCCAGAAGCTGTCCAGCCACCCAAAGACATCAGCATTGGGGCATAGAGATCCGGGATGCCGCATTGCTGGTGCCAAGGTGAGTATAGTTCAGCTTTATGTATTGCCTCATATCCGAAATGTACTCTGCATTATTAGAAATTACCAGATCTAGTAGAGCATATTTTCTAGATAGTGCTTCTACTTTTAGACCTATGAACATTATTCTGCAGAGTGTCCAAAAACTAGCAAACCTTAGTTGAGTGAAAAATACCATTTGTTCAATCAATCAATGTCTGGATCATTTAGGGCCAATTCCCACCAGTACTTTGATCTGCGTTTTACCGCAGCTGTAAAACGCAGATCAACGGAAAGACATCTGAAAAACAATAAAATTCCAATGTGTCCTATTGACACCATAATGCTGCGTTGCTCTAAAATGCAACATATATGCATTTAACGCAACACAACAGATGTAAGTGGATGTCAACACAATGCACAAGATATCCTGTGAAAATGCAGTACACTAACGCACGCTAAAATGCATGTCAATAGACGTCAAAAATGTATGTCAACGGATGTCAGTGTGCAACTAAAATGGATGGAAATTTACATCCATTTTCTCTACATTTTAGAGCAAGTCAGTGTGAACTGGCCCTCAAAGTCCCTCAGCACACACATATCCTCTGCTGAAATTCCTCGCTCACAATCACTGGATGATGTTTGTTTGTCAACTCACAAAAAATTACTTAGCAATCACACCTATTATAAGATTTATAATTTTATATTGTGTTGGTATAGAACTCTTGCTGTCTTGCACAAATCTCCCAAACATGTTGGAGATATCATAGAGAAAAGGGCACCCTTTTGCGTATCTTCTGGGCATGCGTGACATTCAATCATTCTGGTAGAATGGTAAAGACATAGTAACAAACGTATCAGAAATTAGTCAACCCTTTAAGCAAGAGCTCTAACTTCTTTACATCGAACCGCAATCCGGGCTCCCTCAACCAGAAATGCCCCCACAGACACCTGACCAATGCTGCACGAGCCATGATATCTAGACACTGGTGGACTGCAAAGGTGCCAGTGACAAAGGAATGAATTATCAGGTTAAATATATTTGTGTAATGGAGTTTCCCAAACAGGATAGGTTAAAAAATGTTTTTGAAAGTTATTGCGTATACAAACATTACAGAATAGAACATCTCCATTTGAAAGATGGATGAGTGTGGATTCCAAAATAGATTGCAAATGACTGGGCACAAAATTAAAGATATATTCATATAACTAGAAAAAGGTGAGTGGTGACATACCCTGATCATCAAGTGTTAATAGGAACTAAATCATAGGGAACAAATGAAAAGCCTAACAGATAAATGAATGCCCTTGAAAAAACCCCAAAAAACCCTGAACCTGGAGCCCAATGCCATCCCTCGAGTACCCACGTATCACCTAGGATATAAGCAGTTGGGAGATGAGTATTACAGAAGGGCTCTTTAAGGGAAGTATGTGGCAAATTCTGAGGAATAGCTAAAATAGTTCCACACAGACCAGATAATACTGTAAGCTTCAGGATTTGTCATTTTCCCAAGAGACAATTTCATTGTCCCATGTTGCTTGGGGAGTCCAGTCAACCGGGGGGGAAGGGTTGGTTGGGGTGTGGTGCCCTGTTTACACCAGTTTTTAGATAGAAAAGTACATGCTGCGATTAAAAAATGGCAGAGTAAGTCTATTTAATTCTGCTTATAGGACCCAAGCAGTATAGATAATAGCGTGATCAGAGAAACATTAGGAATCCAATGTCCGGCAAGTTGATGATACAGATGAAGGATTTTGTCCCAGAATGGGGTGATTAAGGGGCAGGTTCCCCATACATGTATTATAGTACCCAGGGCGTTCCTGCAGCTCCAGCAAACATTTGGTATAGAGACATTAATGTTATGCAGGACCGAAGGGCATCAATACCATCTGGATATGATTTAAAATTTATGCTCCTGCTTTGTAAGTAAATACTAGTATCTTATCCCATTCTAAATTGTCCTCAGTAACAGCAAGTTCTTCTTAGCACTTCAAGAAAAAGCGTGAATGTGTTTGTATGCGGAGGATAGCGCATGTGTGGGTCTTTCAGTTTGGAGAAGTAATGATTCAAAGTCCATATGAGGATGGAGAAGGGCCTCTTGTGATTATAAGGTTTGAAAATAATAACGGATCTGCAAGTATTCAAGCCAAGCAGTGGAGGGCTTATGACAGTGTGGCAGAAGGCTGGATAAAGGGTGTGTAGTGAGCTCTGAGACAAAGTAAGAGAGAGAAACACTCTAGAAGTCTTGGCCCATGATAGAAAGCAAGAGGCTCGCAGAGTTGGGGGAAATGCATGGTCAGCAATATAATGTCAGTAGACAAGGCCTAGTAGTGTGTGTGTGTGCACGGGGGGGGGGGGGGGGGGGGGGGGAAGGAAGCATGAAGATAGAGCAACTTACAGCACGAGGAAGAGCCACATCCCCCATATTCTTAGGCAATGACAAAGTAGTATACTTAATCCGAGGTTGATTTGTGTTGCCATATGAAGTTACAAATGATGGTGTTGATACTATGGAAGCCTGGGGGAAGAGGGACAGGGATTGTTGGAATACATATAGTAATTTAGGTAATATATATCATCAGTTTTGATAATATTTATGCATCCACACCAGAGAAATGTGATTGGTGTAGGATTGCAAACAGGCATGGACTGTGTGAAGGAAAGGTTTGTAGTTCAGGTCTGCAAGTGCAGATAAGCAGTTAGGAATATGAATGCCCAGGTATTTAATAGCTTGTCTCTGCCACTTGAAAGAGAAGTTCAATTGGATGTGTGATTAGTCTTGAGATGCTAGTGAGATGTTCAAGACCACTGTTCTGTCATACTTAACTTTAAAGTTGATCACTTGCCCAAAGGCATCAAATTCAAGGATTATGGAAGGGAGGAATATATGTGGAGTCATGACGTAAAGGAGGAGATTGTCTGCATTATCACGAATCGCCATTGCTAGGTGTTCCATTGTTAGAATGTTTAGTAATGGACAAAGGGGACAACCCAGTCGGGTGCCACTGTGGATTCTTAAAGAACAAGAGAGAAAGCCGTTGGACCTGAATCGAGCAGTGGGGTTGTGATGAAGGGCTTGGACTTTGGGGATTATATTAGGTTCCAATCCTATGTGCAGAAGAGTTGCTTTAAGAAACTCAGAGAAAAGTGATACCTTTAATCTAACACGAGAACCCCCTTGTTTCTGTGTCCCCGATACCCCTTTTTTCTCCTTCAATTTTTTTCTCCTTCTTGTCCCCCCTCCCATCCCTTATTTTTCACGCTACGTTTTGCATTTCCTAGTCTGTTGTCCCCCAGACCTCTCTACCCCTTTGCCTGTCCTTCCCTTGCTTTTCTTGTAGTTTCTAATTTGGTAAGAGTTGTTTGGGACCTCGGGTGAGGAGTATCTTGGATATGGCGGAAAAAAGAGACTGACACCTAGTATATTGCAACTTCCTCCTTTCCCACAGTAGATGTTACTGGAAACAACATACTTTTTATTGTTAGAAAAATCTTTAATAAGAATAGAAGAAAAAAATGTGACACTCTACTTTAAGTAAAATACATAAGGCATTAAATGCTATACGCCAAAATTTCATCACGCCCTTTCAAGTCAGCAAACTAGTAGACACTTACCATCAGTGTTCGAAAGCTTCCTAAGATGAACAGGCTGAATTTGGCTCTTGTAATTGTCACATTTAAACGTTGTCTACTGGCCAAAAATCTGTAAATGGAGCAGATTACACAAGGTAAAGTATAATATTTGTTGTAAGAGTTACTATGAAATTACACAGAAATGCTGACATGTTTTTCAACCGTACGGTGACTACAGTAGATATATATGCGGCCCCACTGGACTGGGCTGTCTTCTGTGGGTCCGCAAACATACGTATCTGTGTTTGTGCTGGGAGCGTACTGAACAGCTCCCAGCACAGAGTCCCGAGTCCCGTACGAACAATCTGATTGGCTGTCACAGTGATCAGTCACTGTGATATACACCCGTTTCTCTCTCTGTGAATGGAGAGGAAAGAAACATTGTATCTCTCTCTCCTTGCAGATAAATCAAACAGCTGTGTGTAAAAATAACTAAAAATAAAAGAAAAAATAACTAGATCAAGGTCTGATCTAGGTCAGTGCCAGGGTTAGTGTTTGGGTCAAGTGAGGGTCAAAAGGTCATGGTCAGTATATTTTGGGAAGGATTTACATTGTTTTTTGAATTAGTATCAGTGTGTTTTAGGTAGGATAAACAAAACAAACAAAATGTGCAGTTTCCAGGCTGTACTACAGGTATATACAACATACACTTAAGTGGTATTGCTGCGATTGTCAGGAGCAAGATAATTTATTTTGGGTTGTTCTTTGGTGGTAGGTTATGGTAGTAAGAAGAAATATACAGCTACAATAAAATTATGTTTTTTACTATTTTGGGCCAGTTTTCCTTTGATGATAAAAAAAATAAATAAATAGGTATAATCCACCTGGATACACAAAGTATTTGTGATATGTACTGTTTTATTAACACATGTCAAAAGTTGCAAAATTGTGCTTACGTATTACCATTTGTTTAACACTTAGGCCCAAAGGGGTTACATTTCTTTTTCTCTCCTACAGTATATTACTAATTAAAAGGTAGATGTAGACTAAATGGGGACAATTAAATGGTTACAACATAGTCCATTATATGTAAAAGAACAGTATATTCACAGTATATTCACAGGCTACATTCAGTGAGTGTATGTGAAAGAAAATAATTTACTAACCCAATACAGCCTTGGATTGAATTGGCTCGTACACATGTGACAATTATACAATCTTTTTGTCGACCTTGGAAACCATCAACCGTGTCCACTTCACCTGGCCTAGGACAAAGCAAGATCACAAGGTAAATATCTGCATCCAGAATTCAAATTTAGGATACTACATAATCTAAAATTGGCCCTATCCATATTAGAGATGCATAAACCAGGTAAGGCACAAAAACACTGCTACATTATTGGAGAGTTTTACAAGATTACAGTCCCAACTCCAGACAAAACATTTTTTTTTTTTTTTTTTAGCTGTGGCCAGAGCGAGCAAGGAATATAAACTCTCAAATTTTACTGCATCACCATTCATGAAATGGGGTTATCATCAGTCTGAATGCCATGCCAGTTGCTCTTTTGACAGGTGTTGAACAGAAAGTGAGATATTTCCCCATTTCCTGTTTATTTGGTGTGTTAGACAGTATAGGAAATGGGGGAAATCCATGTGGGGAAACAGACTGCATTAAAAACACATCTTCTAGCAGTTTGGGGGCAGAGATTAGAACCTCTATCAGGAGTTCATTATCTGTGTGGCCATAAAAACAGATTTTTACCCACTTCCTATCTAGTTGGCAGGTGGAAAACAGAACAGGAAAAGAAATCTATCAGGCCAATGACAGCATTTAAAACCTAATATAAGTTCTACTCTTGTTCTTTAACCTTCATTACCAGTGCATATATCAGTTTCTAGTGCTGAAATACTTTGACAATTGCTATACAACCCTGTACACAATGAATTCCATATCAGTATTATTTAGACAGATCGCTTTCTTTTGCTGGTATTTAATATCACTGACTGTTCTTTCCCCAAATATTAGTAAAGATTAAAAACATTTTGAAAAGAAACTAAATTTCCCTTCCATTTTGTTAAAATAAAATGCCAGGACAGATATGTTTTTTTGCCCAATTTTTTTTTATAGATGAAACACACCAGTATTGAGATGGCTAAAAATTAGAGCGGATTATTGGTGTACTAGTTATTATACAGGATTTACAGTGAAGGAAATAAGTATTTGATCCCTGCTGATTTTGAATGTTTTTCCACTCACAAAGAAATGATCAGTCTAAAAATCGAATGGTAGGTGTATTGTAACACTGAGACAGAATAGCAAACATTCAAAATCAGCAGGGGATCAAATACTTATTTCCTTCCCAGTATATAGCACCAACAGTTTGTGCAGAGCTTTACAACATGAAGGTAGACATAACAGTTACAATACAATTTGGTACAAGAGGAAACAGAGGGCCCTATTCGTTAGAGCTTACAATCTAGGAGGAAGGGTTGAGTGATACAAAAGGTAATAGCTGTGGGGGGATGAGCTAATGGAGGAAAAAAAAGGCAGTTTACTAGTTAGAAGCAGGATAGGCTTCTTTAAAGAGAATGGTTTTCAGGGATCGTCTAAGGTGGATAGATTAGGAGATAGTCAGACAGATTGGTGTAGGGAGTTCCATAGGATGGGAGAAGCTTGGGAAAATTCCTGGAGACGGGCATGGGAGGAGGTGACACGGGAACTAGAGAGCAGAAGGTCTTGGGAGGATCGAAGAGAGTGGTCTGGTAGATATTTTGGGACCAGATTAGTGATGTAGCTGGGGGAAGAGTTGTGGATGGCTTTGTAAGTTGTTAGTATTTTTAATTTTATTTGTTGGAGTGGAAGCCAGTGGAGGGATTGTCAGAGAGGGGGTAGCAGACACTGAACAGTTGGTAAGGTGGATGAGCCTGGTAGCAGTATTCATGGTGGACTGGAGGGGGGATAGCCTATGTAAAGGTAAGCCAATGAGGAGGGGAGTTGCAATAGTCAAGGCGAGAGTTAACCAGGGAGTGAATAAGCAGCTTTGTGGTATCATTGGTTAAAAAGGGGTGGAGGAAATATGAGCTCAGTTTTGGATAGATTGCGTTTCAGGAAGCGGTGTGACATCCAGTCTAATATGTCTGTTAGAAAATAGATGATACGTGGGGAAACTGATGGGGTGAGTTGAGGAGTAGAAAGATAGATTGGTATAGTCCATACAGGTCATACAAAGAGGGAGGAGGTGGTGAAGAGGTTAATGAACAGTTCATATACATTGGAGATGAATAGGTTAATGTTGCTGTACTGATAACTCTATGACTAAAGCAATCCCAAGATACAGGGATCAGCTCACTACACAGTATCTCTGAACTAAGCCATCGAAGGACAACTTAATTTATAGGCATTATTGCACCTCAAAAACATACAGTCAGGTCCATAAATATTGGGACATGGACACAATTCTAACATTCTTGGCTCTATACACAACCACAATGGATTTGAAATGAAACAAACAAGATGTGCTTTAACTGCAGACTGTCAGCTTTAATTTGAGGGTATTTACATCCAAATCAGGTGAACGGTGTAGGAATTACAACAATTTGCATATGTGCCTCCTACTTGTTAAGGGACCAAAAGTAATGGGACAGAATAATAATCATAAATCAAACTTTCACTTTTTAATACTTGGTTGCAAATCCTTTGCAGTCAATTACAGCCTGAAGTCTGGAACGCATAGACATCACCAGACGCTGGGTTTCATCCCTGGTGATGCTCTGCCAGGCCTCTACTGCAACTGTCTTCAGTTCCTGCTTGTTCTTGGGGCATTTTCCCTTCAGTTTTGTCTTCAGCAAGTGAAATGCATGCTCAATCGGATTCAGGTCAGGTGATTGACTTGGCCATTGCATAAACATTCCACTTCTTTCCCTTAAAAAACTCTTTGGTTGCTTTTGCAGTATGCTTTGGGTCATTGTCCATCTGCACTGTGAAGCGACATCCAATGAGTTCTGAAGCATTTGGCTGAATATGAGCAGATATTCCCGAAACACTTCAGAATTAATCCTGCTGCTATTGTCAGCAGTCACATCATCAATAAATACAAGAGAACCAGTTCCATTGGCAGCCATACATGCCCACGCCATGACACTACCACCACCATGCTTCACTGATGAGGTGGTATGCTTAGGATCATGAGCAGTTCCTTTCCTTCTCCATACTCTTCTCTTCCCATCACTCTGGTGCAAGTTGATGTTGGTCTCATCTGTCCATAGGATGTTGTTCCAGAACTGTGAAGGCTTTTTTAGATGTCGTTTGGCAAACTCTAATCTGGCCTTCCTGTTTTTGAGGCTCACCAATGGTTTACATCTTGTGGTGAACCCTCTGTATTCACTCTGGTGAAGTCTTCTCTTGATTGTTGACTTTGACACACATACACCTACCTCCTGGAGAGTGTTCTTGATCTGGCCAACTGTTGTGAAGGGTGTTTTCTTCACCAGGGAAAGAATTCTTCGGTCATCCACCACAGTTGTTTTCCGTGGTCTTCTGGGTCTTTTGGTGTTGGTGAGCTCACCGGTGCGTTCCTTCTTTTTAAGAATGTTCCAAATAGTTGTTTTGGCCACGCCTAATGTTTTTGCTATCTCTCTGATGGGCTGGTTTTGTTTTTTCAGCCTAATGATGGCTTGCTTCACTGATAGTAACAGCTCTTTGGATCTCATCTTGAGAGTTGACAGCAACAGATTCCAAATCAAATAGCACACTTGAAATGAACTCTGGACCTTTTATCTGCTCATTGTAATTGGGATAATGAGGGAATAACACACACCTGGCCATGGAACAGCTGAGAAGCCAATTGTCCCATTAATTTTGGTCCCTTAACAAGTGGGAGGCACATATGCAAACTGTTGTAATTCCTACACCGTTCACCTGATTTGGATGTAAATGCCCTCAAATTAAAGCCGACAGTCTGCAGTTAAAGCACATCTTGTTTGTTTCATTTCAAATCCATTATGGTGGTGTATAGAGCCAAAAATGTTAGAAATGTGTCCATGTCCCAATATTTATGGACCTGACTGTATATCAACTGCTGAACCTAGTATAGACACCAGATCAAAAGTAGTTACTATTAGTGTGACTCAAGAGGCTTAAATTAAAAAATATGTTAATTTTTAATAATTCAAATTCCATAAAAATTCAAAAATCAGCTTAAAAAAGAACAAACCCAATACCCTTCAATACTCGGTTAAAACTGACAACACTGTTGTTGTTGAATTAGTATGTAATTTGATTTAACCTCCCTAGCGGTCTGATTATGTTCATATTTCTGTGCTCAAAGCGGTACATTTTTTTGCATGGAAATATATATTTTTTTTATTGTAGGCCTGTAATTTTTAGGAATAACTCACTGAAATCTGTCCGAACAAGAGTCTGGTAAACATCCCAGATATGTTACAATTTGAAACATGAAATCATATATTATAATTTAATAAATAAAAAAAATAATATAATAATAAATTTATTTCAATAATATAATCAAACCAAAAACACTGAAATTTCAAATATAGCGCCAAGTTCGCACATCACTGAGCAAAGTCGCAAAATCGTAATCAGTATCTGATGACGAATTTCCCCACGAATCATCACTCAATTCTGCAAGTAGTTCTAATTTACTATCGCTGTTCTCTAGCTGGTCTAAAACCGCTTTTGATGTAAAGGGACGCTTTTTGGACACCATGGACATTTCTCAGTTTCCAGGCAGAAAGAACGGTAAAAATGCAGGCAGGGCACAGGGCAAAGCACTAGGGACAAAATGTATGTGAAATGGTTTGATACAGTAATGTTTTACTATGTGATTTTAGTGTATTGAGTGAATGTCACAATATGTAATTTTCAAATTTCCCGCCGTTCCGTCCCCCGTACGTCCCGACGCTCGCAAGGGACGGAACCCAGATGACAGATGTCGGCATCCGCCGGATTACATTACAGGGGACACTACAGGGGGGACATCGCGGGAGCGCAGGACAAGGTAAGTGACCGAGGGATCCCGGAGCAGCGCCACATGGTAAGCCCGAGTGTAGCTCGGGGTTACTGCTTTTGGTGCTGAAACTTTACCCCAAGCTACACTCGGGAATACCGCCAGGGGGGTTAACCACTTGATGAATGCAATACGTATATATAAAAGTTGAGGTTGTCAATTGGCTTACCATGGTTTTGGCTGAAGATATCAGCCATAATTCGCTATTTTTTATTTCAGCAGATGGCCAGCTTTCTCTT